CATTGTACAGTGGCATTAAGTGCCGTAATGTGCACCTCTGCCTACCCCTTCGGGGATAAAAGGCGTGATGTTATGTTATGTTAGGTATGTTATGTTATGTTATGTTATGTTAATTAATTTAGTATGTCTCACGAAAGTTATACATATAAATATAAATACATAGGCTGTTATTAACATGCAACTTCATTAGGTTTGTTTTTTGTTCCCAGTTCGTAGCACATCCGAATGTCCAGCAGTTATTAGGAGCTATATGGTATGAAGGTCTACCAGGGTTCAAGAGAAAAAACATCGTCGGACAATGTATACAGGTACCTAATTACTTACTGTAAAATAATTTGAAATTGTACTTCTGGTCGTTATTTTAATGCTTAATGGACTACCGCCCAAATAGGTAGGTACTGCAATGCTACTCAGTTTTAAGTTGCTCTTATGAATCTTAAATATCACGCGATTTGTACCATAGTCAAAGTATTAATTGTTATCACAAACACTTTATATTTACAATTTTTTAAAGCATCTTAGCAATATTGAGTAAACATTTCAGGCGTCAGACGTTAGCATGATAAAATATCTGGCTTCTTAGTTGGACTAACAAAATCTCGATATTCCAGGATTCATTAAAATTGTTAAAAAAATAATATTAAAGGAACTTGGTACCACTAATTATTGAAATCGACTTCCATGCCAAATAAGTGGTCTCGAACGTAAACTATCAATATACTATCTATGATTATGTTACGTCTAAGTGGTATATATAATATAATTGTATAAGTTTATTGTTATGTACTATCGATGGTCATAGGTTGACAACTCGTAACCCACATTTTTTCACAAAATGAGTTATGTACATCAAAAATTTTAAAATTAAGCGCCGAATCTTTCTATTGATACCTCGTAATTTACAAAAAATGTCGCTCGAACAATTTGTGCCAGAGTTGACAACTCACAACGAACACGTATCAACTTGAACGCACTATTGCACGAGTTACGAGGTGTCAACGCAAAATGCAGTTCGCAAAATTCACTGACAGAGTAAGATCGGCGCAGGTTTTAATTGTTTAAAAATAGTTTTTTATTTAAATTACAACTTTGAATACGTATAGTTATTTCCTGGAAGTGACCTTGAAGATATATTGGTAAGTTTTTAATTTTATTTTACGTAGAACGCTCCATAAACGCTCACTTTTGAAATTTCAAGCATTCTTATCAACGATATAAGATATCGATGTTAAGATGTAAAACTAATTAATGATAAGAATTGAGATAATTAACTATATTCTACATAATACTCGTAATTAAACTTGTTAAGTAGGGATAAAGTTTCAACATTGATCATTTAAGCAGGCAATGGGCTAATTAGGTACTTATCTCGTCGTCTTTTGTTTTAGTGTTATCATGGACAAAAACAGTGAAGAAGAGCTTTTCGATGACGTTGTAACGGGTTTGAAGGAACAAGGTCTAGTTTCTGTTAACTTTTCTCGTAAGAAGAGAAGTGAGTTTGTCTACGAAAGTCAATCACAAGAATCGTTTCAAAAGTCTCCGAGCTTTTCCGAGTCACAATTTTACACCTACGAAGTAAATAAAAACGGAGAAATGTTACTTTTGGAAAAAAGTTCTAAATCAGATCGACTTGAGAATGTTCTCCTAGAAGATTCTCAAGCCTGCAGGCCTGTATTTAGCGCCGAACAGAGCTGTCAAGATAATGGTGGGACAGGTACGGGTTCATCACTTACTGTTTTAAACGATATTACCCCTTTGTCATTTTTAAACCAGCCTCAGATACCTCCCAGCCCAGGTCATAACTCAGAAAACGTCATCGAGAGTATTGTAGAAATCATACCTGATGCAGAATCTCCTACAATTTTGAATTCATATGATTTTGAAATTGGAACTTTTCATGTTGTTGAGGAGACACGAAATGACACAGACTCTCCTACTATTTTGAACTCGTATGATTTTAACTTAGAACCTGAGTTATCAACTTCTTTTGTAGTACCCACTAGTAGTAGAATATGTGATGATCACAACTTTGACCCGGATCAGACGTCCTGTTCTTCTGAAGATGATGACAGTGGTATGAACGAAGGGAATAGTACTGGAAGGAAGACAAAGAAAAGAAAAGGCTTAGCTGAAGCAGAGCATTGGAAAGCCCGTATGAATAAAAAGTTACGAGAGCAGGGAAAAGACTACATAGGGTGGAGGAGAAATGAAAATTCATGTAATACGCATAATGCACCACGAGCAGCAAAAACATTGAAAGAGACTTGCAGGTCTGCTTTTTGTCGCTCGTCCAAAGAACGCCACTGCCACGAATTTACATCAGAATGTAGACAGCGATTATTTGATCTATTTTGGAATTTAAGTTGGGATCAAAAGAAAATGTTTGTGATTAATACTACGGATAAAATAATACCTTTAAGACCCAAAGAAAATACCAGAAGAGGAGCATCACTTCAATATTACTTGAAACAAGGGGATGTAAAATTGAGAGTTTGTAAGAAAATGTACTTAAATACTTTAGGTATTGGAGAATGGTCAGTAAGGAGCTGGGTAAATAAATCCGAATGTGGTATGTTTGCAAAAGAAAATCCTGAGCAAATAGAGAAAAAAAAGAGGGGAGAGAAGAAAAGACTGTCACGTGAATTTTTAGTCGAGTTTATCGAAAATTTACCACAGCTCCCATCACACTATTGCCGCAAAGATACGTCTAAGACATACTTAGAACCGATTCCTGGAGGTATGGTGGAAGTGTATAGGACCTACACTGAAGCGAGCACAACAAAAAACCTGATTCCGTTATGTAGAACCATGTTTGATAACATTATAAAAGAAAAAAATATTGGCTTCCAGCAGCCGAAAAAAGATTTATGTGATACGTGTCTAAGTTACCATACTAAACAAATATCAGAACAGGAGTATAAAGATCATCAGCTCAGGAAACAAAATGCAAGAGAAGAAAAAGAAAAGGATTTAAAGGAGGCAGGTGAAGGAAAATGTGTTGTCTTAGAACAGGATGTTCAAGCTGTAAAAGTGTGTCCATACATAAGAGCCAGCAGTGCCTATTACAGAAGAAAATTAATCAACCATAATTTTACGGTTTATGAATATCCATCCAAAAAAGTACGATGTTATTGGTTTTCGGAAGTCGACTGTGACACCCAGGCATCGGTCTTTGTGAGCTGCATATTAGATTACCTTCATGATATGATTTGCGACTCTGAAGGCGAATTTGAAACAAAGCCTATAATTATTTGGAGTGACGGTTGCACATATCAAAATAGGAATGCAGTGTTAGCTAATGCTTTATCCAACTTTGCGGGTGTGCATAATGTGGTAATTTACCAAAAATATTTAGAGCCTGGGCATACGCAGATGGAAGTGGATAGTGTTCACGCTGCCATCGAACGCGCCATTAAAAAATATGATGCTATTTATGTTCCATCGCAATACGCAGACATAACAAAAAAATCACGAAAAGATCCATACGACGTCAAAATGGTAAAATATGATTTTTTTAAAAAATTTGATGATACAAAAGTCATGCGTTATGACAGTATTAGGCCTGGAAAGAAAAAAGGAGATCCTGTTGTCACAGATCTTAAAGTTTTACTGTACCATCCAGATGGCAAAATCTATTATAAAACTAACATCTGCAATGAAAATTATTCTTTGTTACCAAGTAGACCAAAAAAAATTAATTTTCCAATAACAACCTACGAGCAACTTTTTAAAGACTCGCCTAAACTTACTTCATGCAAATTTAATGATTTGCAAGCTCTTAAAACTGTAATACCTTCTGATTATTATTCTTTTTACGATAATTTACCGCACATGTAATTTGTTTTAATCTAATATAATAATATTTTTTCTAAATTGACAACTCGTAAGTAAATGTTGACTGCTCGTAACATGTTAGAAGTGAGATTTTTTTAATGTTGTTAACTCGTAACTGATTGTTTATTGATTATTTAATGTAAAACCTATGTGGACCGTTTATTATTTAAGCTATATTAATAAATAATTTGATTACCTACAAACTACTTTTTTGTTTTATTTTTTTCTAATTTGTTTCTTGAAACTAAACAGTTTTTTCACTCTCCTGTAAAATTTGCTACATTGCAGTTACGTGTTGTCAACCTTTGACCATCG